CAAATATTAACACCCAGAATACACCAGGCATCGTTTAGCATCTAATCTAACATAAAATCAGTCATTTCCTTTTAAAACATCAATCTTTGTACCAAAATATTATTTCTGTCATGATTTGTGGACATTAAGATCTAAAGAGAAGCGCCATCTCCTGGTCAGAGCCTGTAATTCAGTGAAAGGGTGGAGTCGCAGTAGAAAAAAATGCACTCCCAGGAAAAGGCCAGTGGCTGGAAGTTGGGGAGGATTTTGCTGGGAGTTGGAAGGAAGTGTCTAATTTGTAGTTCTGTCTAATAGCTCCCCCTAGTGGCCTGGAGTACCTCCGCCATGCAGACTTTTCATTAATTACAGCTTTTTTTGCCCCAATGCGTGTGTTTTATGTATTGGTGTCTTTTTTTGTTTTGCAGTATTTTTTGTATTTGCTGCATACTTATGTCTTTGCAGAGCGTTTTCAACCTTCGATACCAGTACTAAGAAAAACTCTCTACCCAATGCACGGGTTTTTATCTACGATCATTTCCCTCTGCTATTATTTTTAAAGCTTTAATTAGAGGCGTTATAGTTAAAAGGCGGGTCTGTTTTTAGCTGCTTTTTGACTCTTTAAGCGAACCACGGTCTCTGTGAACGTTTGCAGCAGCAGAACCGTTCAGGTTCTGGTTTATCTTCGATCATAATTTATGTTCTGAACAGCGTCTGCTCTGATCTGTTTATCGGTGGCGCCTTACTTCACCATGACTTCAGCAGCAGCTGGGAGCCTGGTGTGCTGTGGACCGACTTGATGCCAGCTCAGACCAGCTTAGTGGAGCTTTGCTTAAGTTGCTTATATCTAAACAGAAAAACGTATCTGGTGCCGCTTAGCATGTTTCAGATACAGAAGCTTTGCTGGACTTTAAATGGAAACCTTCTTTCTTTTTCTTTATTTCTTTTTTTTTGGCGGGTGGTAAACAGCAGTTAGATTAATACGGTTCAGGTACCAGATCTGCTCTGGTCTTAAAATCTTTTCTGTTTCATCACTCGTCTCTGGATGATCTGCACCGGAAATGGGATCCTTCCGGGATCTAACTTTTTCAGCTTTGGATTTAAACATAAATCTAGTCTTTTTGAGTATTAACATTATGGTATTTGGTGCGTAATCTAAAGAAGGAAACAACTAACATGCAGATAAACATGGTTTGATTTTATTTTGCCGGACTGCTCTGAGCAGTTTAACGAAGAAAATGTAAAAACAACATTAAATTGTCTCACAAAAGCCATGAACATTTTTTTTCAAGATGTGTATTAGTGAGGTTAGTGAGTTAAGGATGTAAATAAGTAATTTTAGTACCATAATTACATTATTTACGGACACCCAGATGTATATCCGTTCATGCATGTGCAGAATCCCTCCAGGAAGAGAGTTACCCGCCTCTTCTTATGATGTCATCATATTGCAACTCCACTCTGACAAACTGTATCGCACCTATTTCTTAAGGATCAAATCTCATTTTGAGTCTCAACATATTATTTCCTATATTTGCAATTATTTTACATTTCATTGGTGATTTTAAGAAGCTGAAAGTAGAAAACGATCATTTTCAGTCTTGAAGGAAAGCACTGCCGTCTAAGACGGACTGAGCTCTGCCGTTTAACAAGGGGGGAAAAAAGTCTCAGCTTATTTTTATTCTTTTTATTAAGATCTGAGGACTGAGGAGGACAGATGGAACATCTTAAAATGACTTTCATAGAGATTTCAGACAGATAAAACAGTTATTCTACTTGTAGAAAAATAACGTTTGTTGTTGACACAAATTCAAATGTAGCTTAGCTTACGGTGGCTAACTGAGCGAGCTAAAAGAGGCTAACCTGTTAGCTACTGAGTACAGCTAGCCACAGTGCTACCGACTCTGCACACTGAGGCTGCACGATGTTATTATCGTTGTCTGGGCAACCAAAATGTTTTACATCATGTGGCAACGCTCAGCCAATCATGTAGCGTAACGTCACTGGCAGGAAGCAGATCCGGTAGCTACATTGCAATCAAAGAAATGATGCATCATTTCTTGGGTGGGTCTTACGCTGCTGTGCGTTAAGATGTCGTTGGACATAAGTGCTAGACTCCTTATGAATACTTCTATGTATACGCCCAAAATTAAAAAAATACATAAACCCCATTTACACTACCCTTGAAAAACCGTGGTGAGACCGGTCCGAGCTCAGTAACTGAGATAACTTATGGTGTGTAAATGGAAAGCAAACTGAACCGAACCGAGCTAGACACAATCGGACCGAGCTAACTGCAGACCAGTTCCAGATTTGGGCTCGGCTCGGTTTTTCC